TTTTTTTTTTTAAAACTAGGGTTTATTTATTTTGGTACCCTGGGTTTTTTTGGAACCCCAATCCTTTTTGCCCTCTAAGCCTGGGATTTCAGAACCCCCGCCCCCCCCTAAATTGCCTTTTAAAAAAAAAAAAAAAAAACCTGACTTTAAAGAATACAAAAAAAGTGCTCACTTTTGCAGTACATAAACTAAAATTAGAATGACACAAAGAAAAACACAAAAAGTGAATACGCTTAAATTAAGTAGACAAGGATTAAATTGTCCCAATCCAATTTAAACTTTTAACTGTTGGTTGTAAAGGTAAAGGACACCTTTAGAAAAAAAAAATTAGGTTATTCATCAATAACCACTATTAACAATTTGATATAACTCTCTCTTTAAAGTTTCATGCTCATGATTAAACATAACATTGTAAAGACAGCTTTATCAGGGGCTGAATAGTCAGTTCAGCAGTTAAGAGTACTTGCTGCTCTTGTAGAAGACCCAGGTTTGGTTTTCAGCACCCACATGGTGGCTCACAAACCTGTGACTCTAGATGCAGGAAATTCAAGGCCTTCTTCTGGACTCCACAGGTACTGTACACATGTGCTATACTTACATACATGCAAGCAAAACACTCATACAAATGTAACAAAAAAAATTTAAAGATATGCATTATCAAACTAAGAATACACCTACTTCTAATTTATTAACATGAATAGTGAATCTAACAGAATTCTTTCTAGATTCATCAAGGTGATCCTTAAGTTCCTCTAAAATATAAATATGTATGTATTGTATTAACAGATTTCCTACAGCAGCAGCATCCTTTAATGTGTGTAGTAAACCTGACCTTGTCCTGTTTACCTGGGCTTTGTTAAAATAAGCCAGTGAATTGTAGTTTCTGATATTTCTAACTTTTGCATCTTTTTTTAAGAGACTGGTAGAAATTTGTTTTATCATCCTTGTTCAACTATGACATAAAATGAGTTGAAAACCTTTCCTTTATTAGAGTTAAAGAAATTAAGGACTTTTACATTTTTCCCAGTATAAAAAAACATTCCAAGAATAGCAGAAATCTTTGTGCCCCATAACTGTTTCGTTAGATGAAAGATTTAAAAAAAAAAGGAAAAAAAAAGTAATTAATTATATGGTCAAAGTACCACCTTAGGAAAGTCCTTCCAACTTATGCCTACAAAAATAAATTCAACATTCCTATACATATATGCACAATGGCTATCTATGGCTATTATAAAATTGCTATTTTAGATGCCATAGTAACTTGCTTTTAATTTTATAACCCCCATCACCACCAGGTTTTTATTTTGCTTTATTGTAGCTGTATGTACTAAAAGCAATTTTTTCCCCTGTCTGAGTCAATTCCCATTCTGATTTTATGACCCTTTCCTTGGTCTTAAAAATGCTGAGATAGAAAAGATTTCCTGAAACTCTTACTACTTAGGACACTCAGACTTAGTAGGGTGACTTCTACCTGAATTGCTTTGTGGCACTATACACAATGGGAGGAAGGAAGCACTCGTGATATTTATCTCTGCAGCTTCCAAACCTTCAGAGGCAGCAAGAACAGTAAGGTTAAAAATGGGAGGGACAGAAAGTCAGGACTGTCTCCATCCTATTTTTAACCCCACTCTAATATTAATGGTACAGAGTGCCCAAAGGAGGAAACTGCCACAAGTCAAACAACAAAAAAGGTATTTCAGCTGTAAACACTTCCATTTTTTAGATGCAACATATTCTTCATTAACTGAACTCACTTATATTTTTAGAATTGTAAAATCTTAAGGTATTTTATGAACACCTCACAATTTTAAGTGAATGAGGTTACATTAAATCCATTTTGAATCTCCTTTTAAAGAACTGTTTAAATTGGGCTTGATTTATCTACAACATACCTTTTACACTACACGTGAAAGATAACTGAATCTCAACTAAATTTACTATGATTAAAGATATTTAATAATTAAAAAATGGTTACTACTGCTGGGTGTGGTGGCACACATACCTTGAATCCCAGAACTAAGAAGACAGAGGCAGGCAGATCTCTGTGAGATAAGAGACCAGCCTGGTCCGTATAGTGATTTCCAGGCTGGCTGGAGCAAGAGGGAGACCCTGTCTCAAAAACCAAAACAAACAAAACAAACAAAAGGAAGAAATAGCTACTAATTTGACATAATTTTTCTAATACTAAATGTTTTAAAATATATGGCACCAAACTACAGTGTAAAAAACTGAAAAATTTTGATTGACAACAATCAACACAAACAAAACTGCATTTTTAAAAACCACACCATGGTCACAAGACACGGAGAAATCAAGTTGGTATGGACCAGGAAGCTTCCTTACTGCTGGCTAGCTTTCACAATACTGGGAGGTGCTATGCACGCTGTGGGGAAAAGTCATCAACAGTCTCAGTCAGCTGTGAACTCTGTGAACCTCAGAACTGACAGATGTGGGAAGATATTCCCATGGGTGCAACAGTGGCAAAAATTTGTGGGGGCAACTAACTGCTTTCTGATTGGATTTAAGACTTGCTCCAAAGAATGAAATGCATGACTCACACTATAAAACTGGCCAAGAACTAGTGACTGGGGAGCTCACAGGCCCCAAGGTTAAACCTACTATTATTCTGCCAAATGGGCATAGCATCAAACTGAATTCCTATCTCTGTACCCATAAATCAGTGTAGCTCTCAGACCTAATCAAAGAAGTTTTTTTCTGCAGTGGATGGCAATTAGCACAGACGCTTACAACTAATCAATGTACAGAGAATAAGTATTCAGTGGAAGGCTCAGTCACAAATGAGGCATCTATATCACATACTCATCTATATCACATACTCAAGAGTCAAAGGTGGAAGAGGACCAGAGCGAAACAGTATCTTCTGGACATGGCAGGATCACTGCACTCATGAATTCAGACCAGCTGTGGTTGTCTATACAAAATCAAGCCTGTCAGCATTCAAGCATGGAGTGGGGAATGACTGAGAACTACTGACCACTGATGGCTTCTGGGGGAGGAGGAATCAGTTTTCTTTAAGGGTGTGGCCCTAGTAAGCCACTCCAGTGGATGGTCCCATGCTCACAAGTATACAGGTAGCACAAACTGGACTTGATGAATTAGTAATAAAAACAGAAAAACACCCATCAAGTTGGGAATGGGTAGGAAGGGGGTGGATCTGGGAGGAGTGGAGGGTGAATATGATCAAACCACATTATATGAAATTCTCAAAGCATTAATAAAAGTATTGTATCAAAAGAAAAACACTAAATCAAATAAACTTCTAAGTTTCAAGGAAACTGAAGTAGTGAAAAACAAGGTAATAACCATCACTTTCTTTAATCTGGTAAAAGAATAAACTTTTAATAATGAAAAAGACCTAAAATATGAGGAGAAATCTCTAAATGCCTATAAATAGAATGGAAATAAAGAAGTATTACTAATGTGACATCCAGTGCAAAGTTCCACATGGATCACTTGTAACCAACAGGTGTTGTTCTGTTACCAGCTATGTCTCAGAATTCCACTCGGTCCACCTTACTTCAATAGCAACGGAGCCTTGCGGGATCATACAGCACCTGTCTGTCCACTGTGCTCCCTAAACTGATTACCCACTAAATGATCCTATTTCCATTCTAGGCAACCTCATAACCCATTTCTCCTCACTGCATCAGGCGAGGACTGACTACTGAAAGTTGTCCTCTGACCTCTACATATGTCCCATGGCATGTGTGCACCTGTGTGCATGTATACACACACTCTCTCCACACACACAAAGAAAAAAAAAAAAAAAAAAAAAACCCTCATTTGTTTCCTATTTGACATTCAAACTCCCCAGTTCCCTACAATGCACTCTGATGAGTGAAGTCCTTCCATTTTCTATACTCCTCCTCTTTATTTATGATCTCAGTTTTTAACAATGGCCCTTTCCTGCCTCTAAGAGTCTTCCTCAGCCAATTGCTACTCTTGGTGATCAGCTCAAGCATCACACATACAAGCCAAAGCAGCTTCTTTCTTCCTCCGTTATCTCAACCCACTGCTGCACTAGTTTGCTCTGCACTCAGCACCATCTCAAATGATACTCATTTGTTCACATGATCAGTGGGTAATCTATCCCTTACAACTCCATATTTTGTTCATCACTATATATCCACGAGTCTAAAACAATACCTTACACAGCAAGCATTTAAAAGCATTTGTAAAACAGAAGAACCAACCAAGAAAGGTAACTTTAGATGCACATGAAATACCTAAAGTAGAAGAAATGGATAATTGGTCTATCAATCAAGGCAAGAAATACTCTACTACAATTATCTGTGAGTAGAAAGTACGGTGTCACTGGGACCTGTTCTCTACAGGACCTATTATTTACAGGCATCAGGACTGTATTTCTCAATGCTCACAAGAAACAAGTAGAGCAGTTCCACATACCACAAAATCAGCCCACAAATATGACACTGCATTCTTCTTAGATAATTCTGACATTTTTAAAACCTATTAATGTACACAGAAAGTACTAGAATTTACTTTAAAATCAATAGCATGACCCTTCTAACAGTGGCACTCATCTATAAATTACACTCAAAATTTCAAATCTCTGCATAACAAGCAAGTCCTTCCAATATAAGAGGCCAGTCTTTGAGATAGGATCTAACTATTATAACATTTACGAAATCTATGTAACACACTGACTCTCTTTTAACTGTTTACTCAGAGAAAACTGAGTCATTACTTGTTACTAATAGTTTTGAGTATTTAAGAATTCAGTGAATTCTTATTCAACTTTCACTCAATCACAAAAATAACAAACATATTCAAGCAATGAAGATGAAAACTTAATATTTATCTCAGCATCATATATTTTGCTTGGTTAAAACTCACTACTCAAGAGAATGATCTATAAAATAAACAAGACTTAACTAATAGAACAAAATAATCATGTTTTAATGTACAGATGACTTGAGAGTAACAAAAACTCAGTAGCTTTTCTCCAGGTGCCTATGATAATTCTCAAGGAACCATAGAACACCAAGTCTGGCCACACGTACCTGGGTATGGTGACACACTTAGTATTACAATTCTGCGTGGTGATGGCTTTCTCAAGCTCATCCAACCGTCCTGTCTTCTTCAGCTTCTTAACCAGGCTTTTCACTGCTTTCTCACACCACTTTTCTTCCTGTCCGTTCTGTTCTCCTCCTCCTGCTCCTCCAGACCCACCAGCTGATTTCTTCCATCCCAGAAGTCTCTTTACCACTGGCGGAGTGAATGGCAAGATGGACGACATGCTCTTACCAAAAGTAGCAATCCACACTGTGGAAACAGCCTCGTGAATCTACCCTAGAAAAGACATTGAACAGTTAATTTTAAAACTAAAAGTTAAGCAATGATTTACAATATACTATAGAATGAAAATCATGAAACACAACAGAAATTCAAATAGGTGGAGAATTCAAATTCTCCACCTAGGAATGTTGTCTTTACTACTTTAAATGAATTGTCACACAAATCCTTCTGAAAACAGGATGCTTCAAAGACCCAAATCTTGAGAAAATTTTGCAAAGAAAATCTTTGTCAATGCTTGGAATAATTTTATCACAACCATTATACTTTATTCCTAACTCTTTTATAAATTAACTCGTAATGATCGTTCTGGGTTCAATCCTCAAACACTGAAAAAGATATCAATTTAAGAGTCTTTAAAAAAATAAAATATATAAAAATATACAACAAAATATACAAGTCCACTGTCCCAAAGTTTTAAATTTTCATTAATAAACAAAGAAAGAAAATAAATTTTTGGAGAAAAAGGCTGTAATCACCTTCTTTTGATTTCAGGAGAACCTTTAATTCTATTTTTTATTGTTGCTGTAGTGCTGGCTGACCTGGAACTCGCTATGTAGACCAGGTTAGCCTCAATGTCACAGAGATCTGCCTGCCTCTGCCTCCCACATGCTGGGATTAAAGGGATACACCGCCATACCAGGCATTCATTCTATTTTTTAAGACTTATTTTATCTTTTTATGTGTAGGGGTCTTTGCCTGCTTGTATGTGCACCACATGCATGCAGTGCCCTCAGAGGCCAGAACAGGGTGTCAGATCCCCTGTAACTGAAGTTATAGACAGTTGTGAGCAGTGTGGGTGCTGGGAACTGAACCCATATCCTCTGCAAGGGCAGCCAGTGCTCTTAACCACTGAGCTATCTCTCCAGTCCCTGAATCTAATTTTTTAATACAGTGTATCATTCCTGAGAAAGATGTACAGAAGTGAAGATGATACAAGTGTCTTTAAGACTCTCTTGAAACACATTTTTATATATTATTTACTTTCTCAGAGAGCAATGCTTTTTCTACTTGTTAAAATAGTTACAATATAGTACTATCTTAATTTTCCTTAAGAAAAAAAAAACCCAATAAGCTTATCTTATATATTGTCATTTCAACTCGGTATAACTTAGCACCCATCTATGAAAAGTACAGAGATATCCTTTCTAGTCATTATCAAAGTCTGGAATCATCCATTAACTCACATTTACCTAGATGATTCAAAAGGAAACTTCATTTTATGGTTGTCTTGAATCCACGTGCAAAACAAAGTTTACTTAGTTCATTTGGACATTCCCTTTAGAGTAGTCTCCCTTCCATTTTTTTTCCCCTTCAGGAAACTGCCTGAAGAAGTAATAGCTATTCTTTTTTCTTTTTAAAAAAATAGTATTTATTTATTTTATATGTATGAGTGTATTGCCTGTATGTGAGTGCACCTGTGCCGTGCAATGCTGTGGGGGTCGGATTTCCCTGGAACTGGAGTTAAGGACAGTTCATAGCCACCATAAGTGTGCTGAGACTTAAACCCGGGTCCTCTGCAAGAGCAGTCAGTGCTCTCAACTGCTGAGCCATCTCTCCAGCCCCGTAACAGCTATTCTGTATGTGATCTTACATTCTACAACTGTTTTCTCCCTGGTGTCACTAATTTACTCTTCTATCCTGTACAATGGAGGTTAGCTCTACAAACTTTACATTTTATTTCAGCCTCTGACAATAGGTATTGTGTGGTTCCTATCACATCATGTATCTGTAGGCCTGCAGTGTTTGGTTACCACAGTACTGACTAACCAACTGGTTATAAACTATACCAGTTTATGTCCTAAGGACTTCTCCCAACATCCTTTTATTCAGTATGATCACCTTTTAAAGATCAGTGCCAAATTATAGTTTTTACTAGGGCTGCTTTCTCATCTACTCCACTCAGTATTAGCTGTAACTCCTTTTTTTCTTTAAATTTGGTTATTATTTTTATTTTATGTGTATGCGTGTATTGCCTGCATGTAGGTAAGGGCACCTGTATCGTGCAATGCCCACAGAGGTCAGAAGAGGCTGTCAGATCCCCTGGGACTGGAGTCACGGACAGTTGTTAGCTACCATGTGGGTGCTGGGATTCGAACCCGGGTCTTCTGCAAGAACAACCAGTGTTCTTAACCGCTGAGCCATCTCTCCAGCCCCTAGCTGTAACTCTTTTAAAAGAACTTTTCCTCATAAACTAGAGCTATGTGTTTATCTTAAAATACATTTGCTTTAGGGTAAGTCAGGCTAAATGCTTAAACCTTTCATTGTAATTTAAAGGATCTATATTAGTTTCCTGAAGCAGGTGTAATGAATTACCACAAACCTGAAGGTTCAAAGAAAACACTGATTCTCTCATGATTCTGGGGCCAGAAATCCAAAACAGGAATTGGAGGAGTCACACTCCTGCAGAAGCTCTGAAGAGAAAGCCCTTTGCCTCTTACAGGTTTCAGTGGTTGTTCAGCATTCCTCGGATCCCCTTGCCTTGTGGTTTTATTATTCCCATCTCTGTCTCTTGTCATCATTTCTTCTATTTGTACTTTGTAAGGACACCTGTGGTTGGATTTAGGGCCTATCAAGACTCAGAACAACTTCATCTCAAGATCCTTAAGGATATCTGTCAAAACCTTTTCCTCAAATAAATTCACTTTCACTTGCTGTAGATTAAGACATAGACTCCTTTATTGGGGACGGTGTATGATTATTTAGTATACTATAGACTCTGGTTTATTCTGTTTCCCTTTCTCTAACACTGAAAAATCTTGATTTTAAATAAAAGCATCCAAATTGAATCACAAAGGTGGGGGAGGGTACCCCAGAACACCCAGGAAGAAATGTTAAGACTTATTTCATGCCTACTTTTTCCAATTTGAAATCTATCTGCAAAAGTTGAGCTGGAGGATATGCAGCTCAGTAGCAATTGCCTAACATGGGTGAAGCTCTGGGTCTGATTACCACACTGCAAGGGGGAGGAAAAAAGAATGCTAAAATTCATATGGAAACAAAAAAGATCTAGAATCAAACTAATCCTGAAAATGAAAAAGGAAACTGGAGGACCTACGTCACTTTATTTCATGACTTATGAAAACCTTACTAAAAAGCTTTAGTAATTAAGATCATAGATTAGGCATAAGGGAAAAGGTTAAGCTCACAGAGCCAGTCAAAAACATCCAGAAACAGACCACATGCAGGCAGTCAACCCATTTCCCACTAACGTGCCAAGTCAGTCTATGCATAATAAAAGCTTCTGCCACTACCTCATTCCAGAATCTTAAGCTCCTGGAGGAAAACAAGAGTATTTTTATGACATTAAAAATATAAAAAGCACCAACCGTAAATTCATATAGAGCAAATAATGAAAATAAAAACACTTATCAAAGGTACCACTGAAAATAAATAGGCAAGTCACAGGAAGGGGGGGGTTACAACACATGTATGACAGGCTATAATTTTGTGAATCTAAAACTGCAAATCAGAGAAAAAAGGTATATGCTGGATAGCTTTAGTGTCAACTTGACACACCTGGGCTGAGGGAGCCTCAATTGGGGAATTGCCTCCAGAGGACTGGCCTATGGCCATATTTGTGGGGCATCTTCTTGACTGTTGAGTGATGTGGGAGGGCCTAGGCCACTGTGGGTGGTGCCACCCCAGGGCAGGTGGGCCTGTGTTGCATAAGAAAGCAGGCTGTGCAGGGGCCAGGGGAGCAAGCCAGTAAGCAGGGTTCCCCCATGGCCTGTGCTCCAGCTCCTGCTTCCAGGTTCCTGCCCCTGAGTTCCTACTCTGGGCTCCCTGAATGAACTGTGACCTGGGAGATGTAAGCCTAATAAACTCTTTCCTCTCCAAATTGGTATTGGTCAGAGTATTTTGTCACAGCAATGGAAAAACAAATTAGGACAAGATACTTTGTTAAATAAGAAGGCAAATTAGATATTTAATCAAAGAGAATAAAGGAATATTCCAAGAGGTGCTTAATGCCACCAATCATCAGAAAAACACATATTAATGCCACAATAAAATATTTCATAATGTCGGGCATGGTGGTGCACGTATTTAATCCCAGCACTTGGGAGGCAGAGGCAGGCAGATCTTTTTGAGTTTAAGGTCAGTCTTGTCTACATAGTGAGTTCCAGGCCAGCTGGGGCTACAGCTCAAAAAGACACACACAAATTATTTCATATCATGCAGGACGGTTTAAAATTATTCTGAGAGTACCAAATGTTGGTGAGGGAATACATACACTTTGTTAGTGCCCTATCTGCTGTAACAAATCAGCACACTCTCTGCCTTAAAACAAAGATTTGCCAAAACCAGTTTCAATGGACTAAATAAGGAGTCAGCAAGGATGGCTCCTTCTGGAGGGTCCAAGTTGTCACATAGCCATCTCCTCGGCATATCAACTGCCCACCCACTTTTAAAAAGGACACTTGTGATTACACTTAGGGTTCATCCAAATAATCCAAACCAACTACCCCATCAAGATCCTTAACTTTCTAGAATCTATAAATTCCTTTTGCCTCATAAAGTAACCCTAGCAGGTTCTAGGGAGTAGGACCTGGACATCTGTGGGAATCATTCTTTAGTCTACTGTGCTGGTTTGAATAAAAAGTGTTCCTCATAGGCTCAAGTGCTTGAACCCTTGGTCAGCTGAAAATGCTGTTTAGGGGATGGTTACCCAACCTTTAAATGGCATGGCCTACCTTGAGAAGCATGTCACTGAGGGCAGGCTTTGAGCATTCACAGTCTTTGAGCATTCACAGTCTTGCCCCACTTCCAGTTTTATTCTCTCTGCTTCCTATGTGTGCCTGAAGATGTGAGTACTTAGCTTTCTGCTCTGGCTGCCTCTTGTTATGCCTCTCCCACCATGATGTCCTTGTCTTTTTTATGTGTATTCCTGTCTTGCCTGCATGTATGTAAGTGCAATCATGTCAGAAGCCAGCAGAGGGTGTTGGATCCCCTAGAACTGGAGTTACAGGCAGTTGTTAGCTGCCATATGGATGGTG